AAAATCGTGACAAACACAACCAGATCATTTTAAGAGCTATTCCTCAGTTACCTTATGCATTCTGAGCATCCTAATCATTCACAAAGATGATTTTATAAGCGATTTTCACGTATTTCAGACACCAGAGAAGAATTTTGCCATGAGAGTAAAGCCGCTTCCTGATTATCAAACAATAAAACACTTTCTAACCAGACGCAGACAGCACAAAGTGGACTTATTTTGACCTCATGAGCTGCTTTTTGGAGCTTTCTATCATGTTAGAACACTGGCCCTTCATCAAAAACTTGTCTGAAGAGGTTTTAGGCTTCATTCAGACTGAAGGGCTTAAAGCTTAGTTTGGATTTTTTTGGTGAAATCCAATTTTTTTGCGATGTTGTTGACATTTCCAGTTAAATACGACTTGTATGTGATCTCCAGTGTGAACTTTAAACACCCCAAAAGTGTCCTGCATGTGCACTTGTTACGACCCAGCTCTTCTACAGACAGGGGAAGTAACAAAAGAACCAAGATGGATAATGGAATTAATTAAATCATATTTAATTGACATGGATGTAAAAGATAAATTAACAAAACAGACTAAAATATACAGAAAATAACCTAAACTAAGAAACAAAAAAACAGGATTAACACACATGTTTTGTGCCAAAACACAATACACAAAAACGAGTGATTAAACTAAAGGGACACCCAGAACTAAAACACAAGTGTCCTAAAGTAAAACCACATAAACCCACAAACAGAATCGAGTGACATATTAAAAAAAGCACCAAAAAGAACTAAACTAGTGTCTCAACAAAACAAACTAATTCAGACACACTAGTATAAAAAAGTGACTGACACGAAAGAGACACACAAACACAAAATGGCAGACTGGCCACTCGAACAGGTGCTGGAGTCTCCTTAAATAGTTGGACGAGGCTGGAGGTGGAGCAGGATTGGTCAGGTGTAGAATTACTCCACCAATCACGGACCAGGACTCCCACAGCAGAAATCAGGACATAACACAATCATTTACAACAACAAATTAGAAGTGAAGGCCTGGGGCCTACACTACAACTTCACAAACATAATGTGATTGTTTCATTAGCAGGATGAACACTGACTGTGTTGTGATTGCGCTCTGAAGGGGGACTGACTTAGCACCAGGAGCAAAGCGAGAGAAGATACGTTGTTTTCAGTGAATCCAGCATTTTCAAAACAATAAAAGGCAACACGGTGAAGTGAACGTGTTATGTCTTCGCTGTTAATAAACCATAGAAGTAAGCAGTGTCTTTGTGCCACTGGGCAAGACACTTCACTCACCCGGGATAAGTATTAGCGAGATGGGCAGAGTCGCTCGTTGACTGGAGCGACTCGCGTTGAGATTGTCAACAGACTCTGAGTGAGTGAAAAGTGATTTGTACGACTAATGTGTTTTTAAGTACGATGGAGTTCATTATGTAAGAACCAACGACGCTCCACACGCACTTTGAAATGTCAACAACACACTGGAACCTGCAACCAACGCTCTCCAGAACACACTGAGACGGACGGAGAGAGCGGAGGAGGAGAGGGACAGAGAAGGAGAGAGAGAGTGAAAGAGAGACAGAGAGAGGGAGCGTTGGAGGAGAGGGAGAAGAGAGAGAAAGAGACAGAGAAGGAGAGAGACAGAGAGCAAAGGAGGAGAGGGAGAGAAGAGAGAAAGGGACAGAGAAGGAAAGAGAGCGAAAAAGAGAGAGAGCGGAGGAGGAGCGGGAGAGGAGAGAGAAAGAGACAGAGAAAAGAGAGAAGGAGAAAGGGAGTGGAGGAGGAGAGGGAGAGAGAAGGAGAGGGACAGAGAAGAAGAGAGAGAGAGAGAGAAAGAGAGAGGGAGCAAAGGAGGAGAGGGAGAGGAGAGAAAGGGACAGAGAAGGAGAAAGCGAAAGAGAGACGGAGAGAGGGAGCGGGGGAGGAGAGGGACAGAGATGGAGAGAGAGACTGAAAGAGAGAGACAGAGAGAGGGAGCGGAGGAGGAGAGGGAGAGAGAAGGAGAGAGAGTAAAAGAGAGAGGGAGCGGAGGAGGAGAGGGAGAAGAGAGAGAAAGAGACAGAGAAAGAGAGACGGAGAGAGGGAGCAGAGGAGGACTGGGAGAGAGAAGGAGAAGGGACAGAGAAGAAGAGAGAGAGCGAAAGAGAGAGGTAAGGGAGAGGAGAGAGAAAGGGACAGAGAAGGAGAGAGCAAAAGAAAGAGGGAGCCAAGGAGGAGAGGGAGAGAAGAGAAAGGGACAGAGAAGGAGAAAGCAAAAGAGAGACGGAGAGAGGGAGCGGTGGAGGAGAGGGACAGAGATGGAGAGAGAGTGAAAGAGAGAGGGAGTGGCGGAGGAGAGGGAGAGAAGAGAGAAAGGGACAGAGAAGGAGAGAGGGAGCGGAGGACAGGGAGAAGAGAGAGAAAGAGACAGAGAAGGAGAAAGTGAAAGAGAGAGGGAGCGGTGGAGGAGAGGGACAGAGATGGAGAGAGAGTAAAAGAGACAGAGAGAGGGAGCGGAGGAGGAGAGGGAGAGGAGAGAGCGAGGGACAGAGAAGGAGAGAGAGAGCGGAGGAGGAGAGGGAGAGAGAAGGAGAGAAATAAAAACTGAGAAGAGAGAATAAAGAATAAAGGAGAGGGAGAGGAGGAGTGAGAGAGAGAGAAGGAGAAAGTAATAGAGAGAGGACAGTGAGAGAGACAGAGGAGAAATAGAGGAGAGGAGGGCAGTCATGCGTTTCCTGAGAGAGAGAGAGAGAGAGAGAGAGCTGTGTCTGTGTCCATGGAGACCTGAGTCACAAACGAATAAACTGGGATTAACCCGTCCATCAATCTGAACGAGGGAGAGAGGGAGAGAGAGAGGAGGAGATAGGGAGACAGAAAGGTGGGAGGGAAGGAGAGAGGGAGAAACAGAGAGATAGGGAAGGATAGAGGGAGGGATAGGAGACAGAGGAAGAGAGAGGGGGAGAGAAAGTGAAGGAGGGAAGAGGAAAGAAATGGAGGGAGAGAGGAGGAGAGGGAAAGAGAGAGAGTAAAGACCAGTTTACAGCCACTAGAAGCCAGTTTTCTTATCTTCTTTCCCAGTAAACATTTGACGTGTTATGAACAGGTGTAGATCATGTTTATATTGTGTCCATCGGTCTGAGACTAATTCTGGACTAAAAAATGCTGAGTAAATTGTGTCCATTATTTGTAAATTTAACTCTGATCCACTTGGACGTCAATAATCTAGAGTTAAACATTTGAACTGTGGATTAGGAGACAGTTTTGGACGTCATGAGGACGTCAACACAGACGCAGGAAAATTGTTGTTAATGGTCATGGAAATTGTGTGTGTTATTCAGGGAAAAGCTTTTGAATTTGAAGTTTGACATTTGAAGTTTGAATGTGGAGAACCTGTAGCTTCTTGTGGCTCAGTCACAGGTTGAAGTGGAAATGTTTTACACCTTTGTGTGTGTTTCCAGTTTCCAGTTGCTGAGACAAAATGAACTGGAACATTCTGCACCGTCTGAAATGGCATCACAATTCTGCACAGAGTCCAGGAACAGTAAAGACGGAGAAAAACACTCTAAAATGAGTTTAAATTGAACATGGCCGTATCGACTTGTCAGAGTCTGATCCTGTCAGATGTTTTTTGCTCAGCAGGACCAGGTCTGATCACCACTTGGATGAGAGACACTGAGAACATCAGGAGCCACAGGGGGAGCCAGTCACATTCTCTAGTAGGAAAGTGGAGTGTGTGTGAGTGATGGTTGTGGTCAGAGGGGCCGATGGCTCAGACTGGCAGCTTCGCCTCCGTCAGTCTGCCCCAGGGCACCTGTGGCTGCAATAGTAGTTTACCACAACAGAGTGTGGAGTGAATGAATAATGAACTGTAAAGTGTCTTTGAGAGTCCAGAAAAGCAATGTATAAAACTGTATTATTATTATTATTATTATTATTATTATTATTATTATTATTATTATTATTGAGAGAAGACGTGGACAGCGACCTCATTTGGACTAGACTTAGCCTGGGAACATCAGTACTGGACGTCCTGATAGTTCATCGTGTTACTCATATTTGCCATTATTATTACACAGTGTAATATTTCTCCACGTCTCCAATTTACCTCTTTTTTTTTTTTTTTTTTTTTTTTTGACTAAAAATATCTGTTATCAAATAAATGAAACTTTTTTTTAAAGAAAAAAAGAGTGTAACTACAAACTGTGAAACATTCCATGTATTACAGTGAGACAAGCTGGTTTCGGACCCTCCACCAAAAATGTTACACAGTGCAGCTTTAAGAATTATGATTTTATTGTTTAGTTTGTTAAAGGGCGTCTCTCTATCTCCTGCTCTGTCTCTACTTTCTCTCTCTGTCTGTCTGTTCTATCTCTCTGTCTCTTTCTTTTATCTCTCTCTTTCTGCCTCTGTTTTTCTCTCTCTCTGTCTGTTTGTTCTCTCTGTGTCTCTTTCTTTTATCTCTCTTTCTCCCTCTGTTTTTCTCTCTTACTCTCTTTCTCTCTCTGTGTCTCTTTCTTTCTGTCTCTCTCTCTTTCTCCCTCTGTTTTTCTCTCTTTCTCTCTCTGTCTGTCTGTTCTCTCTCTTTGTCTCTTTCTATTATCTCTCTTTTACCCTCAGTTTTTCTCTATTAATCTCTTTCTCTCTCTGTGTCTCTTTCTTTCTGTCTCTCTCTCTTTCTCCCTCTGTTTCTCTCTCTTACTCTCTTTCTCTCTGTGTCTGTTTGTTCTCTCTCTCTGTCTCTTTCTTTTATCTCTCTCTCTTTCTCCCTTTGTTTTTCTCTCTTTCTCTCTTTGTCTGTCTCTTCTCTCTCTCTGTCTCTTTCTATCTCTTTCTGTCTCTCTTTCTCCCTCTGTTTTTCTCTTTACTCTCTCTGTTTCTGTCTCTCTCTCTCTCTGTTTCTCTCTCTTCTCTCCTTTTTCGTAGATTACACCTGACCCCTCCCCTCTTGTTTCAGTTTCATGAATAACCCCTCTCTCTCTCTTTCCCCCTCTCTCTTTCTCTCTCCTTTTTCGTAGATTACTCGTGGCCGCTCCCGTCGGTGCTGTGCCCCGTGTGGATCTACCTGGACGTTCTCTTCTCCACGGCGTCCATCATGCATCTGTGCGCCATCTCTCTGGACCGCTACATCGCCATCAGGAACCCGCTCCACCACAGCCGCTTCAACTCCCACACCAAGGCCCGCGCCAAGATCACCGCCGTCTGGACCATCTCCATCGGTACACGCGATCCCACACCGCCACATGGACTTACACGACTTCATTCAATTTAAAGAGTGTTCTAACGTGGTTTCCTCATCACAAATACACCTACAGGAAGTGCTCCACTGTGTTTTAACAGCAATCAAACTTTAGATAATAAAACATTCTCCTATTTCAACAGATTATCATTTTAACAATGTACATACAACAAAAACAATTGGCAAATCTCACCTGAAAACAAAAGAACCACTTGAGTGATTTCTCGCTGCTTCCTTCATGCACAAGTTTAATACAAAGAGAAGGAGCGCGAAATCCCCCAAGTGGTGCACGAAGGCATTACCAATCACCAGATCAGCGAATTCCAGGCTAAGCAGTTGATAACAGATGTGATAGATGCTACTGAAAAATAAACTAAAATAAATGTTTTAATAAACTTTTAACTCTTTTTTTTAACCTATTTTTAAGGCTTATTTAAATGTATATTTATTAATATTTATTACAAACCTTTTTACTGTTTATAACTTATTAACATGAAATCTCATGAACTGTATCACTGCAACAAGGCACAGAGCATAACATTAGGGGCATATACTACCATTCTAACCTGTCACAGAGGCAGAACGGCAGCGCCATCTGCAGTCTGACTTCCTCATTACAGTATCCCACCTAGTGCCTTCGCTCAGTTTCATTTCTCTCCAGCGACTACGTCAGGAATTGGAATTCGCAAAAACCTCAGAAGTGCGAGTTTGTGCAGCAGTAGGGTGACCATATTTCCTTTTGTGAAAACCCGAACACCTTACCGGGGATGGGGGGGTGGGGCCTCGACATTGAGCTACTCTCACCTCAGAACCTGTGCACATGGCCTCCCACTTGTACCAACCGGGATGGAAAACGGAGAATTTCTTGTCCAAGTAATTGTTAAATGCGCATTTGAGCTTCGGCGTGTTGCAGACTGCCCAACTCTTTGTGTCTGCTCGCTCCTTCTGAGTCACAGAGAGCTACGAGAGACGCTCAATTTAATCGACAATGAAAGGCAATAAAAACCCGGACATTTCCATCACTTAAATTTTTTTTTTTTAAAAGCCGGACGCCCAGGACAGGATGCAAAAAACTGACATGTCCGGGAAAAAAACGCATGTTTGGTCACCCTATGCACCAGTGAAGAGCCATACATTCTGTGTTGGCAACGATTCCCGAGATCGAGGATTTAAAGCTGGAACAAAGAGAATGTTTGGTGAATTTCATCAAGGGGAAAGATGTTATTGCCCTTCTTACTACAGGATTTGGGAAAAGCTTAATATACCAGTTAACCCCATTAGCGGCGCATTAAATACATCACGACCAAATAGCAGCGATTGGTTAAATTTTAAAAAAGTACCCGCCTACCGTCAAGCAAACAAATTCTAACGCTGCAAGGTCAGACCGGTTGATGAATCAGACTAATTATCCCAGGTGTGTGAGAGTAAAAAAGCTCCAGAGGGCAATGAGAAAACACAATATGAACACACCAGTGAAACCGTACAGAAAACTCAGGCAACTACTCGTCCATCCAAAGGGCAAAATAGAACTGGAGCATAAGTGTAATGTCATATACGAAATACCCTGCATGTCCTGCAATAAAACACACATCTGGGAAACAGGGAGGGGGTTCAGTACACGAAAAAGGAACATAGGACAGAAGGCGGGAAGGAAACAGCGAAGGTGAAACACGAGCAACAAAACACAAAGCAGAACAGGAACAACTCAAATCGGCCATTTCTGATAATGTAAAAGAGAGAACCACATTATGGACTGGGACGCAAACATCATTGGGACAGAGGAAAACAAACACAGTCGCTGGATTAAAGAAGCAATCGAAATATGGAAGCGTGCCCACAGGACTGTAAACTGGGACGAGGGGCTTTTTAACTCTCACACACTTGGGATACTGTCCTGAGGAAGTGGGACTGCAGGTGGCGCTGTCGTCCTGCCTCCACCGTTAGGAAGACAGCGCCAAAACCTGTTTAAATCAGCTGACCGGACACGTCACAGCAACATCACATGACCACTCTGAGGAAGACCGCAAGTGACCATTCCAAAATGTCAGGTATGAAAACAAACTCTTGGTCTGACAAAAGAATCTAAAACATAATTCACACTGTAGCCTATGATATTTATTTAATATAAAGATTAAAATTTTTCCAGTCTTTTGTTTCTCTTATATAGGCGAGTTTCAGCTGACATCACTGTTATTAAAAGCCCGCGTTGCATGCTGGGAAATATTTTGGTCAGAGGCAAGAAACACGGTAGCGGTCAAACACAGTGCGTAACCTCGCGTATTTATCCCCGATAATGGTAAATTCCTGCTGCATTATCGGATGCACAAAAAGAAGCACGGAAGAAGGAAAATGTCTTTTTCATATTCCGAGTGAAAAGAACCACTAACGGTGAATTAAACGACTTTCAAACATTCGCAGAGCAAACATAGAAGATCCTAGCAAACCGTGGACTCCAACAAGTTCAACAACACATCGAGACTCTTGGAGGTTTTCATTTTTTCTGCTGTGAATGGCCCAGGAGTTTCCACCAAGTCATTGTGGATATCGCCAAAGTGAATATTTGGCCAGAAATTTGGTTTGGTCCACCTTTTGTCGGGGTTGAAAAGGGTGATTTTGCGTCCGTCGATGCTTATGACCAATTTCTGGTCAAATGGTCTTGGGTCCTCTGCCGTTAGAGTGGATAAATAACTGGGATCAATACCCTTTACGTGCTTTCTCGCTCATGTTGAATTAGTGTTTCTTGCCGCCGACCAAAATAATTCCCAGCATGCAACGCGCATGCCTTAGCCTTATTTGATAGAAGATACAGGCCTATCGTCATGAGCTACCTCCACCCAGATTCTTATAAATGAGTGAACAATGGTGATTCTACAGTGGGAGCATTATTCGAGGTAGCACATCACTTGTCGATATGTGTTACCTTTAGTCAGAGCCCTATTTGAGCAGAATATGACTGTCGAAATGAACTACGCATATCCATATAAATGAGTTATAATTGTATATAACTTAGATATAAAGTCCGATCACCGTCTGCAAACAAAGAAATATGTTGTAAAACTGGGGAGGTTCGCTTTATTGAATCTATGCAACTTAAGGTCGCTTATTTCGACGGGGTAGCATGAATCGATAGGCGTCACTGTCGATTTAGGCTGCGGGGAGCTCATTTCGACAGGGACAGCCCATTTCGACAGAACACCGGCCTCTACTGAACTAAAGGTAAAAAAGGAGCTGTTACCTTGAAAACTACCGCTTCATGACATCACAAGGTGGAACAGAGCATTTTGAGCTTTCTACAGAGATGTCATTGCTCTGTCTGGAATGTTCCACAGTGTGACATTAAAGAGCTTTACCTTACATTTATTCAATTTGACGGACGCTCCACCGGAAAACTTACGCGATACACTTTAGAGCCATTTCGCGTAATATAAGACCTTCAACCCTGCGGACTTTTTCTCGCAAGTAAAACCTTGTTCGCTTTTAATGAGTGTGTTCTTTTTCAACGTGAGATGTGTTGCTAAAAAAATTATAAATTCTCAAAGGCCTCATGCTTAAGAGTCCTATAGTAGACGGGTGAATGTAGCGTAAAACACGGTGGCGTGTTTGGAGAGCGCTGAAGCGTGCTCCACCATTACTACCCTGTTATTATCATTATCCAAACAGATGGCGAGGTGAGCGCTTCCTATAGCTACAGTCATTAGCTTCATTAGCCTCTGTCAGGGGGCTTCTGGTTCAAGATAATCACAGTTATTTCTCTGACCCGCCCCTTCTCCTGCCCCTTTCTCCTGCCCCTGCCCTCTACTGTACATCATGTTTTTCAGAATTATTTACAGGTCCTATAGGGGGGTTTCAGCTGGGAAATATTTTGGTCGGAGGCAAGAAACACAGTAGCGGTCAAACACAGAGTAACCTCGCGTATTTATCCCCGATAATGGTAAATTCCTGCTGCATTATCAGATGCACAAATAGAAGCACGGAAAAAGGAAAATGTCTTTTTCGTATTCTGAGTGAATTAAACGGCTTTCAAACATTCGCAGAGCAAACGTAGAAGATCCGAGCAAACCGTGGACTCCAACAAGTTCAACAACACATCGAGACTCTTGTCGGCTTTCATCTTTTCTGCTGTGAACGACCCAGGAGTTTCCGCCAAGTCATTGTGGATATCGCCGAAGTGAATGTTTGGCCAGGTAGTTGGCGATTCTGACCAGAAATGTGGTTTTGTCCACCTTTTGTCGGGGTTGAAAAGGGTGATTTGGCGTCTGTCGATGCTTATGACCAATTTCTGGTCAAATGGTCTTGGGTCCTCTGCCGTTAGAGTGGATAAATAACCGGGATCAATCCCCTTTACGTGCTTTCTCGCTCCGTCCGTCATGTTGAATTAGTGTTTATTACCGCTGACCAAAATAATTCCCAGCATGCAACGCGCGCTTTTGTCAACAATGAAACTCGCCTATATTACTCAAAATGGACTTCCGGATCCAAAACAGACCTGGAGTTGTGTTTTGTTTCAGTAACCCTTTATTATTAGTGTGTTTCAGAGGCGGCATTGTCATTAGACAAGAGTACACGGTCGCTAGGGCCCCCAAACCCGGAGGGGCCCCCATCCAATTGCCCTCAGTGCCACTAATTGCTGAGGTCTCGGAGCAATTTGATCAATTTCTCTCAAAATTACATTAAGTGAATAAAAAATCAAATCTATTTTAAATGTCAAAGGATTTTTCCCTTTCACATTAGAATGGACTAGTCAGTTTGACCCAGTATAATCATAGCATAATCATAGTCATATGTAATAGATGTAAACAAAAATGTAATTGTATGTTATTAGGTTCTTTTTACAGACCAAGAGTTTGTTTTCCTACCAGTGGAGGCAGGATGGACAGAGGAAAACAAACATCGCCGCTGGATTACAGAGGAAATCAAAATACGGAAACATGCCCACGGGACTTTAAACCGGGACGAGGGGGCTTTTTTACTCTCACACAC